GAAAGAGACAAAACCCAGCTCTAAAGTCACAGTCAGTTAGAGCCTCATAGCACGTTCTTCAAACACAGGTGGAGTTTAGCTAATGACTACACTACAACTATTGCCTTTGACTACTTCAATTTTTTGCTTAAAACAACGTAGACTATATCGTACTCGTCACCCTAAGAGACAACACTGTTCTGAGGTGAAGGAAATAATTCCCACATACGTACTGCTTACACTAGAGAGAAGCTTTTGCTTCTGACGAACCATTTAAGTGGCTCTGGGGAAAAGCTGGCATAAAAAATGTGAAGTATTGATTATTTTCCATGTAGTATTACTAAGCATTTACATGACTGTAATGTGTATGTGTCTCCAGTGTACTGGGTCATACAAGCCAAATCGCTGTACGTGCACCATTACTCATTCACTAGTACCACTTCCTGTGCTGCTACTTTATTGACCTCTGCGGTGATAGAAGGCATTGCAAAGCATATCTTTCCCACTACGGCATACTGAGATGTCTACCACACCAATCTGCTTCCTCTGCCCTGTTTGACTCTAAACAAAAATAAATCAGATCACTCTCTACCTCCTCAAAAATAAAAACTTATCTGTTTAATATTGCTCCATTTCTGAAGTGACTACTACTACCCATTGTAGTGATCAAAGCTGTGTGCATAAAGCAGTTGTTTAAGCAAACGACTACTTTTCTTTCAAACAAGCCTAGCTTTTCAAATAATCTGCAGTGATAAACATCAATTCAGTATGTGAAACTTCCCATACTAATGACCTAGAATAAGTCCCCCAAGCTTGTTTATGCAGTAAGCTGTTATTAAGCTGACAGCTTTGACTAGCACCAAAGATTTAAATTACTGGCTTGAACTGACAAGCTGCCAGTCTGGTACGTTAGCAAAGTGCTGGCCTTGAAAGAAAGCTATGTAGTTCCTGCAATAGCTACGGACAAAACACAAGGGCCTATAAAGCCTTCTTAAATATTTCTGGTCTTTAAAACGTAAGCATCTCTCCTAGGTATTTAAAGAAAATCCTAGAGAGCTATCACAAAAGGAAATGTAAATTGTTTGTATTGGAATCTCATGAAAAACCTTAACAATGGCATCACAACATCAGCACCATTTCCCTTGTAGTTACGCTATCCTGCTAAAGCACCATGGTAACTGAGCACTAAAGGAATGAAAGAACAATCCAACCAAGATCTCTCTTTTTCTGATACTCGTCTATTCTTTACATCTAGTTCACAAGTGGAAAGACTCCTTTTAAAAATTTATCATTTTTATTTGCAAGGTTAGTTTAGTCAAGACCTTGGTTTTAAGTACAGGACTGTTCAATAGCTATACAAAACTATACACAATACTTTCAATGGCATAAATTCCCAGCAAAAGCACATTTTAACAGCTTTTTCTTTAACAGCAGGTTTACTCCTTATATTAACACATTAAAGAAAGCTGGCCCCCTTTTCGGTGAAGATACATGTTTCTACATTTAGTAAAGTATTTTACATTTTAAAGAGAGTAGGTATGCAGTTTCTTGTTTTGCTAATGAGTATTATATAGGAAAATTGGGGGGAAAAAAGAAGAAACATCTAGATCTCTGTCCTGGAAAAAGTTTATTTTTGCTACCTTTTAAAAACAAACCAAGAACCTAATCTTTGCCAGAACAGTGGTACCCAGGAAGCCTAAGTTATGGAACAAAGTATACCTTTTACTAAAAACAGTAAAATCAAATTATTTCCCCAGAAATTTAAAAAGTTTTTGATTCTAGGTCACATATTTTAATAAAGTAGACTTCCTATTAATTGGCTATCTTAAGACCTTCATTGCTACTTATAATCATGAAGAAATCAGCATTAATCAGATTAACTACAGGACTGTTTATCTAAGAAACATTTAATATTAGCGTCTTTTCATTCAAAATAATAGCTGGAAGAAGGAAGTAGTGCAATGTACTTAGCCAGCTCTCTGCAGACCAGGCAGTAGTCTTTAGAAACCTCAACAGATATATCTAATCATATTTCCCAGTACTCCTATTTCATATCACTCTGATTTTTATTTGCTTCCACTAATGGATATATTCAGTCTTACTATTCTTGCTGTGTTAAAAGTACGAACTTGCTCCAATATATGGTTCTTTGAAGTGCAATCATAAGTTAAACTTCAAAATAAACTACTCTTATATTTACTTAGTCCAAATGTAATTGTGATTTTCAGTCTGACACTGCAGATGAGTACTTCAATGCGGCGTTCTTCCTTGGCATCCTCTCACACACGCTGAAGGGCGTAACTGCCTTGTAGCTATGCATGTACAGAATGTATATTACAGTAAATGAAGAGCTAACCATTTCCCAAATGACCCATTTCTTTCAACAGGCGTACAATCAGAACCCGTCCCTCTAAGCATACAGTAAAATTTTAAAAAACAGGCCAACCTAAGCCTTATCATTTGTTTGGTCTGCAAAGAGCCCCCATCATTCAAAAAACTGAGGTCTCTAGCTGCATGGGAAATTTAAAAAGAAGGCCAGCTTCAGTTTAGGGTCTTCTGCATTTCAATCCAGCATCTACTTCACAGCATATTTCCTGCCCTAATATGAACGTACTGTTCTTATCCCTAAGGAAAGGGGCAATAGAATAGGGAGGAAGCACCAGACATATTAAATTAAGATTAACAGAAAGATATTCCAGCTTAAGAAAAGAGAACAAACTGGCAACTGAGAAGCTGAAGCAGCCTAGGAAGATGGGGGGAGGGAGCATTAAATACACATTAATATATTTTGTAACTTTATCTTTCCGCAGTCTGGTACCGAATGCGTATGCTGTTATACAAAACATATTATTATTCCTAACCTTGTCTGGTGGCAAAGTTGGCTTCCAGTGATACAGCACACACTCATTAAAGTTCTATCTTAAAACCAGGCGACTATGACATTTTAAGAAGTACCCAGCTCCCAAACACGTTACTTTATGTATACTCAAACAGTAAGAGGGCATACTCTCTTGAAGCTGACGAGCTAGTCTGAGAGCTTATATTAAAAGGCTTATAATTGGAGAAA